GTGAGTGTGTGACATAAGTCGTTTATATCATTCTGAGTCGTTTGAGGTTTTTCTTTGACTGAAAATACCTCGGTAGTAGATTTCGTAATTTCTAATATGCGGTCGGCAGATGCAGCTAGCTCTTCTAAGGCGTTGTTCTGGAACGAGACCAGAACTGCTTGCACCTGTTGGGGAAGTTTTGACAAGAAGAGTTGTTTGAATAGGCCTTCGTCGAAAGTTCTTGGGCCTATAACCTCTCTCATCCGTTGCAACATGTCTGTCGCAGAATCGTGTTGCAGGTCGATGTTATTGAAGAGTTGATCTAACCTTTGTCGATCGGTTAGGTCTCCTCGTTTAAGAATCGAGCGTTTTAAGATTTCGTAAGGATCGGAAACATCACTAGTAAACATACTAGGTGTTACGTACCTGTTGAATTCGCGCGGTAGTGCCTTGACTACTGCGAGGAATTGTGCACGTGTGTTGATCACGCCGTGCTCGTGGAAGTCGGCTTCTGCGTAGCAAAACCAGGCTTCGATGTTGTCGGGCCAGAACGGCATGAGTTGAAACGAAGGCGGGGACAAAGTCTTAAGCTTGAGTACTTTAGGTGTCTGTTCAGTCATGATGAAGTATGAAGTACGATAATGAACAAGGGGAAAATATATATATCCAAGAAGAAACACGAAAAAAATCACAATGTTTAAAAAAGTTAAAAAAAATAAGGCGATGATATATAAAAATCCCAAAAAGGAACAGACTCACAGTTGCAATTAGGTGTACCAGATCACGTCGGTTTCACCAATGATGATGTCACAGGTATTCAGTGTTTGACAACGCTTCTACCAGTAACACCTTCTAATATATTTCGTTCCCGCCCAGAGAAATCAAAAGACAGAGTCGAGGAGATCGGAAGAGTATATTTGGCGATGACCAATATATCGGAATTCTCTGATCTAATCTGGCTAGCGATTGCGGTTGATGTTGAGCACGGCGTTACCACACGTGATCTGGTGCGGATGCCTGACCGAGCGCCTTCAGCTAGGTGAGTCCACTAAAACATGGTCAGCATCCAATGTCGAAAACTTAGTGCTATTTATTTTGGGGATTTATTTACCGCTACAGCGTCATATCTCTTCTAAATGAAGAACTGTAATGGCATTGGAACATAACCACACAATCCTCAGAGCTGAAAACGAGACAACTTGGAAAACAGATATTCAATATCTAACGCTGGGAAATACTTAACGATGGAGTGGGCGGGAAGAATGTGTTGAATGAATTGGATTTGATATCTTCTATTCATATTAAATATATTGTTCTCTCTCTAGCCTAACCTTGTTCTACATCATGTATTGGTAATTGATACGATACAGTGAGTTGGTGTAGTCGATGGTGTGACTTCCCGTAAGATCTTATAGATTAGGCAGTTATACCATGACAAATCTACAATTTTAGGATTAGGTCTATTATTAGAGCAGTAGTAATATCATAGTAGACCATAATTCTACAGAACTTCTAACTCTCAGGGCAGGGTCTAAATGGTTTGAATTAAGTTATAATGTATGGAACAAAATGTTTTTCTTTTCCCAGTGTGCTACGATGGCGCAGTAATAAAATCGAACGGGATGAACGGGCTTATAATACCTCTGTATTGGACAATCGGACGATCCGCTTTGTACTGACTAAATCACGTTACATGAAAAACCCGAATCACAAGCAGCATTACATAACCAGAATAAATATACCACACTTTATTCCACACAATTACAAGCGTTCATTCTCAGTGAATCTGATCTAGCATACAATCAGTCATCAGTTGGAAGTTGAGTGCCTGCTTGTCCACACTTAGTGACTAGCCACACTTTCACTGACAAACATTGCTTATGTGGAAGCATAGTAATTCAAAAAGCTCAGACAAATTGCCAGTGTAACAATCTCAGTAATGAATTATATGCCGATGTTCAGCTTCAATTTAACGTTTATGTAAACCGCCGAAAACCCGTTGTTATACTTTTTCTCATTATAAGCTTTCGATAAGAGAAAAATAGTAGTCCTAGATTCTATTTGTTATAGGTTTGACTCTAAATGATTCATTCATACCAGTCGGTATTGCATTCAAGTAAGCTTTGTGTTGCTGATCGTTGTAGGCTTCGTGAATGTGAATTTCTGTGTGATAAAAATAACGATCGCACTTTCACAACCAGTCCCTCGTTATGTCTACATAAAGCATGTTTACATATTCTTTCCATGGTAGTTGATTCAGTGTTCTTTCGATTTGCGGCTTACTTATCGATAAATGTGTTGTAGGACGAATGAAATGTCCTAGCCCTAGCCAATTCATCCGATAGTAGGGCCACTGAATATCGGATAGATTACCAATCCCTGTCAAAATCAAAGACAACCAACGCGCATCAATTAATCGCATGTCATGGACTGGCTAATGAGGCGGTGATCTCACTAACTCGAGTAGGTCAACAATCATTCAACGTAGATCATCAACGTTGATGATCTACAGTAGAACCAGAAAGAAAATACTTATTGGTAGTATATTCCACTATTCCATAAAATATACCTACTTGATCTACTTTCAAGTCACCTTCATTAAAACATCGTAATTAAAGATAGTCAGTCATACATCTTTTTATTACACAGATAGTTATGAACCGAATAGCAAGCCAAAATCTCCAACTTCCTTTTATTTTTGTAGTATTCGGGTAACTGGTTTTCATCATATATGCATTGTTTTGTGCAAACGAACACAAACTACTCTATCAATCTCTGCCTAGCACCTTTTAGCTTACCTTGTATCCAAAGGAGCATGTAATAACAACTCATTTACAACGTTCGCCCGGCGTTTCTGTGCTCGACATTGACTCACACAGTGTAAGAGTTAACTATAAACATTAGAAAATAACAAAGAAGCTACATGATTCCTCCAATCCACGATACTATGGCGAATCTAAATTTTCAGGATACATTCGATTACAACTTCACTGCTAGCGGATTTGGATGCCGATCAACGTAATAGATTTGCAAATACAAAACCTTGAGCTGTTGGACAACAGATGGATACGAATGATGTACGTATTCTCTGTATTATTACTTAGTGGTACTACAGCCAATTAAAAGGACTCTTAACAGTACTAACGTTCGGCTCATCAAAAAGATCGCGAAGTGTGGTTAGGCCTACTGTATTTGAGATAAAGTTTAATTCCATATCAGTAGTCCCCAGTGTGTGACTGATAAACCTTCGTTGAAAGCAGAGAATAAGATTATCTCCTAAAAGTTCGCTAATGTAACGTTTATTATGCGTGATAACATGCCGTACGATCTGCAACGACCTCGCATGCGTAGAATACGATTTTGAAAACCTTCATTGAGATCATCCTAAATTTGAACTTGCGTTGTCAACAGACCTAATGGTTCACCTTAACATGTCAAGACACTCGGTGACATTAATTAAATGGAGTACCTAGTTCATGAAGAAGGCCTCGTAGTTTCAATGGGCAAAGACATCTTAATAGTGATAAAAGTATTCATAAAACTTTCGTCAATATAGAAAACAAAAGTATTATAGTCCTATCATGGGTAACAAACAAAGTGAATAAGACCCACATACACTTCGAGGTTCTAGGTCTTACTCACCAGAACCCTAGCCACGGTCATTGAGACTTGGTTTAAGTACCAACTAATAATAAAACCTTGAAATATGAAGGCCCCAACTGTGGACAGCGTGGGTGGCTACTCTAATTTCTACTGACTGACCAACTTCAGATATTTCAGTACCACTCCAATACGGTTCCCCAATCTCCAATATATCAGAACACGAACCGTAGATGAAATTGTTTATGGGGTCAGGAGAAGAATAAGAATAGGACTAATACTTTATAGACAAATGCATATTTATACAGTTAGGACTACCATAAATACTGACCAATAGGAAAATGACATCTTTTCACGTTCAAGAACAGCATTAGAGTTAACAGGATAATTTTTGAGATATCTCAACAGCACCTCGATCAAGCTGTTAAGCACACCACGACAGCTACAGACGATCCACAAACAGTCTATCTGAAGAAACTCCAAAAGTGACAAATCTCAAAAATGAAAAAAAGCCTATGCTTATCACCGTCACTGGATTGCTGGAATACAAGTAATCCAAAAGAACATTTGTTACCAGTTTAACTATACAGGAAGTAGTATAAAAAGGTTTGTCGACATGACTGAATACTAAACACCTACATAGAAAGCATTATAGTTCATCAGTGCTTTTACTGACGTGTTAGATTTGGTAACGCTGAGTTTCCTGTGAACAAATGTTAATTAAAGCCAAAAACCGAGACTGAACTAGTAGTATAATTGCCATTTGTTTAGTAAGCTACACATAGCAAGTGAACCTTTAAATGTTTATGTAATAAGTATGTGGATCACCCAGATTATAAGGAGTGAAAATCAATGACGGCACCTTAATTTGAAGTTCTCATATGATTATCAAATTAGTAGAAACATAATAGTTTCCATGTATTATCATTCATACGGATATAAATTTATAACATGGTGAAACACTGTACTGAAATCTCCAGTCACAACCACCAAAGTGATTAGTAGTTCCTTTCGAATTTACGCCGTCGGATTTCGTACCACATAAATCTGACTCGGAGCGTAATACGACAATGCTTTACTAAGAGTATTTCTTCAACTAAATAACCCACAAGGAAACCGACGATTGAATCACATCTTCAACCGTCTATAATCCATAAAAACAATAAAAATGTACAATGAGTCAAATCTAAAGATGAGTTTCACAAAATACAACATAAAAATACTGTGATGTTATTCAGCGGGTAATAATAAACTCTTTGATTTTCATAACATATGGCGACAAACGTCAGTAAAAATGACTTATTAAAATCAAAAGAAATATACATGATTTGTCAAAATTTAATCGGTGAAGTCACATAGAAGTATTTAAATGCATAGAAAAAGAGGAATATCCTAAAGTCTCGTAGAAACTGAGGCACATACTAGCCACTTTTATCACTAGATTCACACTGAATAAATAAATTTTTCCGCAATGAACACAGCTCTTTGACCCACTTTTGACCCAAACTTGTGCTAAATGTTCCTTTAAAAATTAATCACATTTGAGGGAAAAAGAAAATCAGAATAGTGAAAATATTATTTACCTAGAGTACTTTCGAAAAATGATTCTAATTTCCCTGGTTCAAGAGTTTCATGTTCATATTCATAGGCCTGCAAGAGCATCTCAAATCTGTTAAAAAAAGATATTTTAAGGTAATAAAATAACGTACTTATCAAAATCTTTACAAATAACAGCCTCTGGTGTTTGCTGATCAACATATTCCTATAGATAGTATAAATTATCAAATATAATGATTATAATAAGTTACCTTCCATAAACTCATAATTTCTGCACTGCTCTCTTCTGAAATAAGTTCACATAATTGTTTCATAGCGTCCTGCAAAAAAATAACCAAGGGATGAGGGATACAACACTTACATACAAAGATGTAATTTTGACTGTTGTAAGGTAGTTGAGAGAGAACAATGTACCTAGGTTTAGTGTTAGTTGACACCCAACAGAGACCTCGAAGAAAATGATGCTCCTATAAAACTAGTATCTACGTCCTTTAGTTTCATAGTCTGAAATGTTATCGTTGAACTATTGAGGCCTCGACTAACATCCCGTAAGATTGAGATATTTATAACTGCCCAGTGACGAATGTTATATTTCTTTAGTTCTTTAGTGCTGGTCAAATTTTATCGATTAATTTGTACTGTGAGCACTGGTCTAAGTGACTTGACATCGAGCACAGTATGTTGAGATGTTGGGTAATTAAAGGCGATGGACAGGAAAACCTAGTTATTCTAAGAAGCTGTCGAGTGGTAAATAGTAGGAACTCTAGGAAAAAAGCTTGTTGCTAAATGCGTTTGATCGCTGAACAAAACAAGACTTGATTAGTATGCATAACATAAATATAAAAGATGTCATCTAGTTAAGATTATTTGGATGTTTATAGTGGTCCAGATAACATCTTGGAAGCAGGTTTCTAAATAGCTAGTAAACATTTTTAAAATTGTAAGCACAGGGTTGTAGGGACTATTGAATGTCAATGAAATAACGAACCAACAAATGTTAGAACACCATTGGATACCTGAAAGCAAAGGACGTACATTTCTTACTAGTATGGGACCGCTCAGTAGTGAGCATCTAAGAGTCCCCACAAGAGAAGCGAACTCATGCGCGACCGCGAGTTAAAACTAACCATAATCGAGAATCTTTCCTAGTTATTAGGCTTATCCTGATTTCACGTTTGCGAAAAAAAACTTTTATAACGAGATATACAAAAAACTCTAATAATTGGAATATAAATATACAAAAAATTGGCAAATGAAATCCAATGAAGAAGTCAAAGCAATTCACTGAAGGATCAGTAATGGAAAAGAAGCAAAATATACTTATTAAATCAATTTTTTATCCCAATATAACTTATTAAATGTTTCATTTTTCTAGTGATATAAACATACATCAGTAATTGCCTTTCGGCAAAAAAGTACTCATACATCAACACCACAAAATGAAATTTTTATAAGGAGTATTTAGGAAAGACTAAATTTTCAAAACTATTGTACGAAGGGTTATTATTTATATTTTTCATTGTGTGATCCTTAAGCATTTGGTGCATATTACTATGGATTTCGAATTATGAGTGAATAGAGTAAAACAGAGAACTAATATACTTCCAACTGGAAGTAGCTCGTGGATCAGTAAAGGCCAAGATGCACCGGTCATTAATCACGGTTACTGAGTTATTGGTTATGAGGTCACTAGTCCTACAGGGAACACGGATGAATACGTTCATAAAACGGACTAGATAATATAACTCTTTCATAAACAATTGGCTTGATCACACAGGCCCCAACGCAGTTCATGGATTTTTCCTTTTCGAGATTAAGAAAACAACTATCGTTTAATTACTCTATGAATAAAAACGGGGAACACATGAAATAAGCTCTCTCCATTTCACATGGAGCACATACCAGTATTCTATTAGTGCGCAAAACCATAAACAAGTATTTTTGTTGAAATACACAATTATCTTTTAAAACACTATAACAACGCTTGAAATGGAGTGAAGAGACTTCCCAGGTTAAATATAATATCTTCCTTTCGTTATAATGGAAACTGTTACTGAGACAAGAATGTGAAACATTTTATAGCGTCTGGTAAGGTAGATGAATTATTATCTTAAAAGCACAATATTTCTAATGTTTTTATTAAGACTAATTCATCTGCATCTAAATCCTGTTACTTCAATTATTAAAATAATAGGTTAGAAGTTCTTAGTTAGTGGTCACTCTGATGGATCGATACTGATCTCTACATAAACACATACAACTGGTTGCTACAACATGATAAACTAGTTCAGTAATCAAACTGGTAAGAAATATTTACTAACTTTTTCTCTGGACAGTTTTTCTTCTTTCGATACTCCACAATGTGGTGTAATATCTCCCACGATACATTCAGCTAAATCATGTACAATTGCCATTTTTAATAATCTAAAAAATGGAGACATGTTCAGATGTAACAAAGAAAAGCGAACATTTAAAACAATACTGTTTTGCTTATATTCGATAAGGGAAAAAAACTATCAAAATATGGTAAATAGGAATAAATTAAATACAAATACATGGAATTAATGTGACAACTTAATGAATAACAAACAAGGATAAAACAAATATCCAAATGAACATTTAACAGACTTTGTACATTTAATGTGATTTTCATTATGCAAATGAGCTGATATGGGTTAATTAAAGCCATTAATCAACAAAATCAAACCCGAAATTTTAACTAAATAGATAGAAAGAACATTTTGTATTGGAATTGAGGTACATGAAATTTCTTACTTTGAGAGAAATTCACACCAGTTTAAAACTACTCACTAGTAACAACATCTGAAAAGATTTTGTGAAGTTCTAGTTTGAAGAAGTCATCAGTGAAGTTCAGTTGTATTATAAGTGATACATACATACTCCAGATGATATGATATGATGATCACACAATATCGAAACTTGGATAAAATTAGAAATGAAAAGTACTGATTTATGACTTAGTGCTTTAGAGGTACCATTATCACCGTAAGATTCCAAGGTTTTGAATCCGATCCTTTGTTGGAATGTGGATGCAACACATTATTAATTAGTCCCAAAATAGACACACTTAGATGCTTAGTGTTTATTTTTTATTTTCAATAGTTAAACAACTGAATTTGATAATGGAATGTAAGTTATCCTCTAATTGAACATTCTTCACGAAAATTCCCACCCTAATATAGTATTCTCTCTAAGGAAGATTGGATTGATAGTAAACAAACATACACCATATTCAGCACCTTAAATAATTTATACTTATTCAGTTTATAAAATACACAGGGGCTAATATTATATGACCTAAATTTAATTTGGTGGTTTGGTGATATTAGTAGTATTAATAACACGTATTTTGTCCTTCTTGATACTTTACAACTAAACACAAATACATATTCAAAGATATTAGTCCCTTTCATAAGTTTTCGTATATTAATGAAAGGATGTAGTTGATAGGTAAACTTTTATGTATTTACAATATACATTTTAAACAGTTTGATTACACATAAACTTCTCAACACATTTTCTGCGAAAGTTAATAAAAGTCACTAAATGAAAGTTCAAATGAACTTAAAGCGATAATTATAAATAAAAGACAGAAAACAGATGAATATAATATGGTATTTTAATTCCTATGCTTATAGGAACATTTGACACCAACGGGTACTGAAGCTATTTAGGCGTATGTTTCATAACCCTTGATTGTACTGTTCGGTTACTCCTTTCTATGTATGTCAACGCAAACACATAAATTGGTAAATGCAATGAGTTGTGGCGTAATCATTTGTGCAAAGATTAGGCCTATGTGGAATCATGAGCTTAGTTTTTCCAATCACAATCAGTTTAGCAGTGTAGTATAGTAAGTTTGCATAGAAAAGTTTTATGATAAATTCCTAGATTTATACAAGCTATGGTCATTCACAAATTTAAAGAGTTTGTCGTAAACTTGAATTTGTCTTAATAATCTTTAAGTCATTTTACGGCTTAGGGTATTGACACAATTTCCTACGTTTCCCAGATTATATTAACCTGTTTCCTCTGCTTTATTTATAGTTATCACTTTGTGTTCATTTGACCTTTATTAATGTTCATAGAAAATGTGTCAACAAGTTTAAGTTTAATGAGACAATTCGAAATGCACAGTGCATATACATTAGAGTTTTTAGATCAACTTCGTCTTCTCATTGTTCTATTGAAATATATATTCATTAAGTGAATCCATGATAGAACCATAATCCGACTCACTAAATGTCTGAGAGTCATAATAATATTCAGAAATTAAAGTATTGATACACAAAATATCCAGTCGAAAAGCAATGTAAATAGGAGATAATTCCCGTCGGTGAAAAGTTGGACAGTTAATGAAGAGAGAAAAAGTTGCAAAATAACCAACGACTATTTAATCACGGATGTAACAAGCTAGTTATGATAATTTCATTACTCAACGACTACCGAATTAGATTAAAAACATTATTAAAAAGTACTGATAAATTTCAGTTTGTTAATCGTTATTCGGTCTTTTAAAGGTGCAGCCGTTACATCGACATTGATAACTGAGACCACAAAATCCAACGAATCAAACACGGACTCAGTGATAATACCCGTAGCCAAAATGTGGATCATAATATATTAGAATAGTTGAACACGTCTTTGTCAGGTATTTCGGGATAGGAAGTGTGAACACTCATAGGTCTTAAACCTCTAATCGAATTCACAAACACGTTTTAGAGTGCTTCTTTGCAACTTTATCTGTATATTATCCAAATTTTTCGCACTAACAGCTGTTGATTTGTCATACAGACAAGTGCAAAAAATTTGCGAAACAAGCCCCTAAACCAACAAAAAAGCTATGTTTACCGATCTGTGTTTAAATTTCCACGTTCATTTGTTGGGATTACGGTAGCCATCAATGCCATCCGGTACATATGATCAGAAACACTTTCAGGTGAGTTTATGTTGTAACGTGTCCAACCAGCTCGAACAGTTCGCTAAAAATATTTTCAGAAACGCGATGTATATATATAAACTCAGAAGTTACATTAAAACATGTGGGTAAGTTTGTAGTTAACCATGAGAGATATTGCAACCGAACTTTACAGTAGTCTGTTAAATGAATAAATACTATGATAAATCTGATAACCTTGAAAAACAGCTAGCGTATATCTTATAGAAAGTTTGTCCATTAAATATACGAACTGGACTACTGACGTTTTTGGTGGAATGTCAGAAAAATACATGGTATGCTGAAGGCTTTTTAAGAAGATAACTAGTTGGTGGTTTATTTTTCAACTGAATTAAACCTTTCAATTAGATGTAAAAACTGCAAACGTTGATATATCAGGATGACTATCAACTCGCTGGGCCGAACAAAACGTTTCTGAGGTGTAAATTTCTCGTCAATGAGCTCTTTACTACTGCTTTTCATAAAATACTAAGCATCATTTGATACAATATATCAGGCTTACTAAACCCTTTATAGAAACAGACCAAATTAGTTAACTTTTGAATGTAACTAAATTGGCCCGAACAATGGCAAATCACAGCAGTAATTTAATTAATACCTAAAAACATAAACAATCACACGAGTTGGATGTAATAGACTTTCATATTTGTAAAAGTAGACATTACAATGCGGTTATTCTCCCAAACATTTAATTATCCAACATGTAACAGAAGATACATCGAGTAATAATATATGCGAAACTGTTAGAGTAAGGTCGACAATCCATAACTGATCCACATTCAACAGCCTAGTATGTGATGTTTAATTGGGTCAGTAGAAGTAAAAATGGTCTCTTCCATAACCTCCTGTGATGGTAGTTAGAAAAATGACTTTCATGGAAATTAACAAAACGCTTTAGAAACTATACGATGCAGTGATGATATTGCAGTGTGTCAAACTTCAAATAATAAGTAAACTAAGTAAACTCTCTCCCAATGATACGAACTGCGATCATGGGTCAAAACAGTGCCAAACATGAAATCGAACTTCCGTATTGGTACACTGTAATTAAGAGACATTTAAGCTTGTTACGGAATGTGATCAGTACCGTGATATCATAACCAACTTCCATTCTACATTAATCAAACTATAATTGTGAGAAATGGGAGTTTAGGGGCGTGATCACTTACAAAACCATTGGAGTTAGTAATGTAGAAATGTTAGCCAAACATCTGGACCCGAACTTTCATTCTCAGAAGGCCTAAAAACAATAACAATGAGCGGTCTGTTGTCAGAATCTCAACTAACTGTCATTTTTATTTGGGCTGAAAGTGGAAGTGACATAGTTAACAATCTAGTTGTTTTCATTGAAAAAATCAATATAATTTGAATATAATTACCGAAATTTTCTGCAGACTCCTCTCCCATTGTCCGTTTACATTTGTTAAAAATCTCTAAAGTTATGGTAATGTACATTCCATTAGAATGAGACTAAGCTTTTTATAAAGAAAATCCATAGATAAGTCCACTGATTAATTTACATTTATTACTCTCATTTTCCAAATAAAACCTCTAACAATAAAGATATGATTAAAACCCCTCGACTAATTTGCACAAGAATCTGTTTGACACATTCCCACTCTACAGGGACAAGTTTCTAAAGAGGTGATTGAAGTCGAGAGTGAAAAATTCATAGTATATATACTATGAAACGACTTTTGAGAACCATTCATCGAGAAAAATGATAGATACCTGTGGATCTTTGCACACCCATGGTGATTTTTCGACAGATATTTACTACAAAACCAGTGCCTTTCTACACGTTTTAGACCACTAGTTGGTGGTATTAAAGAATAAGTCTCAGCACCCATCCTTTTTCTAATATACTACTGGGTTATCTAGTATAGCACCCCAGAGAAGGTTAACAGAACGGACCAGTGTTATTAACATATAAGCGTTTAACACTTTTAGCTGTGCTCTAGAAAAAATTTTTCCGAGGAACCAGTTTGGTAGTGATGGTGAAGTAGAAACAACAACTCAAAGTTCTAAAGCGCTTTTAAGGGAAATGTATTACTAGTCCTTTGAAGTTGGATATGTTTTTATATATTGGAGTTGTGAGTGATATGGTCTTAGAGATGACAATATGCACAAGAATGCAACATAAAAACATCAATTATGTATATACATGGTACATGTATGAAATTCAGAAATTTCCGATCGCGAATTTCCTGAAGCTCATGGATGTAAAATGTTAACATGATAGGTCTATAGTCAATTTCATTTACAGTCATTCAGAAAATCTAGTAATACATACAGTAAACTGTGATGTTAGTACATACAAATCTACGACCAGCATGAAGAATCAGATCATTGTCTTAACTGCCATCCTCAAAATAAAGTAGGATGTTGTCTACATGATCTCTAAACCTTTTCTCCTAAAAATTAATTACAAAATTATTTGACTATCGCAATGATTTTATAGCTTACTGCTAAGAATTCTATTATACATGAGGTTATGATACTTATTTGCAAAAATATTAGTTGGATACGAATAGCAAGCAGTAACCGATGAGAAAAAGAAGGGAAACGTCAAGAATTAAATCCAAAAAGAAAACAGTTCTTTTTGCACAACTCACGGAGAGCAAATAAACACAAAACTCTGGGTTTTTTTATAAGTAACATTAAGTTATAACTAAAAAAGTAGTCAGCTTCTTACTTTAAGTTTTCCACAGAGAAGGAGAAATCGTAGGACATTTGAATCAGACATCCTAGGAAAAAGTATTTCTGATTATACGAATAACAGAAGACAAAACAGAAAATTGAAAACTAATTAAAATATATATTTGATAGAGGTGTACTACAAAATAAACTAAGATTTCTTTTCAAATAATCCAAACGAATTAAAACATCGTTTCAATTTGCAATTACTGCACTGGTTACTCCTTGTCCAAGTGAAAAAATTTTTTACATCTAAAAAATAATGGTCATTTACAAGCCTTACTTTCATTCCATGTTCCTCGAATTTCATCTGGAAACTGGGGAAAATTACTGAAAGATATGTCATAGTACCTTTTGGAGAAATGAAAATAGGTGCGGCACGACTTTCTTAACTTTAGTAGCGTTATTAGAGCACTTATCAGCTGTGCTCCAAACACCCTCAACAACTGAAAAATATCCAAAAGCTGCAACCAAACCAAATTTCGAAATCCCACTACAGATATACAATATATAACATAACTAACCGGACAAAAGCAACAGCCATATTATGAGCGTGTAGTTGGAGTGGGTTAATGTCAGATAAGCTTAGTTACGTACTCGAGATGAACACGGTCGTTTAAACATAGAATACAGTACAAAACGAAGTCTTCTAGAAAAATTGCAATAAACACGCGTTATTTGGGTTTAGTTAAATTTATGACGAACTAGGTGTAAAATAATAAACAAATGTTCATAAACTAAGAGAATAACTAATGATAGCAGAGACAGCTTAGTGATATAAAATGATTTGGAATAACCTTTGAATATTATTATATGAAGAGGGAATGTTGGTGTGAATTTCAATCATTACTATTTACCCTTGCACTTGTATACCAGGAAATCTCTCATTTAATAAAAGTTATATAATACAAGCAGTTCATTGTTTTTCATCTCATTCTTAGACACACCAACAGTTGCGATTTTTTTTCTTTTAAACCTGTGGTAACATGAAACAACTGGCTTTCAAAATATACTGAGTCACGTGAATGTCGATATACATGAACTTGGACACGACCATATTTATATCGAAAATGGCTTATCTTACTGTCATTACGAAATGCACAAGAAACATCGGTAATTAGCTATAGGTATTTTCGAAATATACGGCTAAGTCGTTATGAAATGTTTCAGGGATATATATAGGGACAATAAAAGTATTAGTGGGTTGATATAGTTTTCTTCCACCTGAAACACATTTTAAATACTGGCTAGTCTTGTAGAAACTCCTAAATGCACTTTGAGCAGCCCAATCTCCCAAGTTTGAGGAAATCGCAAAAGTTAAGTGACCTTCACCAACCTTTGGGGAGATTTTTAGGATAAACCGACTAGTCGATTGCCTCACCATACAAGCGGATAAAAGCTGATGATCATCTCTCTGGCATGAATCTTTGCACGAAGGCAAACATGAATGTTGTCATTTAGACAAGTTATTATTGGATTAACAATCTACCGAAACAATTTGAATAGTACTATTCATCACACATGTGATGTTTGTGTACACGCAAAACTAACAAGTATTCTGTAAGTCCAGAAATTATCATTTTTGGATTGAGATCATTATATGTTAATATATTACGCAGAATTGTTCTCACTAACACCGTAAAGATGCACAACCCAAGCAACCAATAAAAAGGAAATAAAGCGTACGACAGCGTAACTGAAGAAGAAATGTCGATCTTTCACCCCTGAGTCGGTTATTTAGGGGAAATGTCGATTTTGCGCCTTACGTCGTACATTTGGGGGCAATTTGAAGACAAATACACGTAACGTAATGCGTTCGAATATGTCGCCTTCCGTACTTGTGTTTCAAAAACGTATATAAATAACATATTTGAAGGCTATTATCATTACCACAAGTGAGAAAATGCAAACGCATCGATTTTTATCGGGTGCTTATATCCCTACTTTGTTGTTTATTTATCTAAAGTGTTCCGAAGTGCTGGATGGCCATCACAAATAGCTTACGAGGTGCATATGAGTTGTGTACTCTCCATTTTTTATGTTCACTATCACCAATTAACTTTTCTGTGTTGTGAGATGAATGCATTTAAAGCTCGTAGGGCAACAGTGAACTTGTCGTGCGTCGTTCGCTGTTACAGGTCCACTTATGATGGAATAAAATACGAACAGCTTTCATGATAAAACATAATTTGCCTTCGTTTAGCAAGTTTGCTTATGAAAGCACGATTAAAGGTAACTGAATTTAACAGTTATTTATGTTGAATTGATAGCAGTCAGTGCAGAAAATGATTGTAATGAGATTCCATAATCTGTAACATCATCCAGTAGCTACAGCAATGAAAGGCTTCTGGATGACAATGGCACGTATAAAAAGCTAATTCGTTAATATATTTCTTTTAGGGTATCATGACGTTAATTGTTGCACTCAGAAGTCTGTAAATCGTGAAGAAACGATCAACGATATATTGATGACCTGAATGACAAAAACCTGTCTGAGCATATGATATGCTGGTCGGCTTCTGACAGACCTCAGAGATCGTGTTCTGGGCTTACCGAGCAGCATCAGAAGTGACCTGAGGACGTGCAGAATTGTCCAACCGAAATTCATCTATTGTGATGTAGCGGTAAATAAATCCCCAAAATAAATAGCACTAAGTTTTCGACATTGGATGCTGATCATATGTTTTAGTGGACTCATCTAGCTGAAGGCGCTCGGTCAGGCATCCGCACCAGATCACGTGTGGTAACGCCGTGCTCAACATCAACCGCAATCGCTAGCCAGATTAGATCAGAGAATTCCGATATATTGGTCATCGCCAAATATACTCTTCCGATCTCCTCGACTCTGTCTTTTGATTTCTCTGGGCGGGAACGAAATATATTAGAAGGTGTTACTGGTAGAAGCGTTGTCAAACACTGAATACCTGTGACATCATCATTGGTGAAACCGACGTGATCTGGTACACCTAATTGCAACTGTGAGTCTGTTCCTTTTTGGGATTTTTATATATCATTGCCTTATATTTTTTAACTTTTTTAAACATTGTGATTTTTTTCGTGTTTCTTCTTGGATATATATATTTTCCCCTTGTTCATTATCGTACTTCATACTTCATCATGACTGAACAGACACCTAAAGTACTCAAGCTTAAGACTTTGTCCCCGCCTTCGTTTCAACTCATGCCGTTCTGGCCCGACAACATCGAAGCCTGGTTTTGCTACGCAGAAGCCGACTTCCACGAGCACGGCGTGATCAACACACGTGCACAATTCCTCGCAGTAGTCAAGGCACTACCGCGCGAATTCAACAGGTACGTAACACCTAGTATGTTTACTAGTGATGTTTCCGATCCTTACGAAATCTTAAAACGCTCGATTCTTAAACGAGGAGACCTAACCGATCGACAAAGGTTAGATCAACTCTTCAATAACATCGACCTGCAACACGATTCTGCGACAGACATGTTGCAACGGATGAGAGAGGTTATAGGCCCAAGAACTTTCGACGAAGGCCTATTCAAACAACTCTTCTTGTCAAAACTTCCCCAACAGGTGCAAGCAGTTCTGGTCTCGTTCCAGAACAACGCCTTAGAAGAGCTAGCTGCATCTGCCGACCGCATATTAGAAATTACGAAATCTACTACCGAGGTATTTTCAGTCAAAGAAAAACCTCAAACGACTCAGAATGATATAAACGACTTATGTCACACACTCACGCGTTATCTTAGTCTTCGTAACGACCGTAAGAGATCGCGCACACCACGTAGAAGCATTTCTCGTAAGCGATCTGTCTCTAGACCACGAGAGACAGATAACCCCGACTGGTGCTGGTATCATAACCAGTATGGAAAGCTTTCCAGAAATTGCAGAAAACTCTGCAATTTTCCCAACACGAAACCGACTGATTCGAAAAGCAATTCCGGAAACTTCCAAGCCGGCACGCGTTAACGGCAACCGTAGCCGGCGAACAAAGCCGTCTGTTATTCGTCACAGATGTGACAACGAGAGTTCGTTACCTCGTCGACACTGGCGCAGAAGTTAGCGTTCTCCCAGCAAATCCTAACGACCGGCTTCAGGAGTCGGCTTTTAACTTACAGGCGGCAAATGGAAAACCGATCGCTACGTATGGCAAAAGGTACGTTTACCTTAACGTGGGTTTACGCAAACCCATCCACTGGATTTTCGTTGTTGCAGATGTTTCTATGCCAATCATTGGTATGGACCTTCTACAACACCACAATCTGATCATCGACACTCGCAAACGGAGGCTAGTAGACGGAAACACTAATTTGTCCGTTTGCGTAACTTCTTTTACTGGTTGTAGAGTATCCCCAGTCACAGTTAAACATATGATAGACCCACTCTATCAACCACTACTCGATAAGTACCCTGAGATACAACAAACTCAAACGAAACTACCGTGTGTAACCAGCAATGTTACACATCACATCACGACTACAGGACCACCTGTATTTTCTAAAGCACGCCGACTAGCTCCTGAAAAGCTAAGGTTAGCGAAAAACGAATTCGATCACATGATGGACTTAAGGATCAAACGACCGTCAAGTAGCCCATATGCATCTCCGTTGCATATGGTCCCTAAAAAGGACAGCAACGATTGGCGTCCAACTGGTGACTATCGGCGATTGGACGCGAAAACCATTCCCGATCGTTACCCGTTGCCTCACATTCACGATTTGACAGCTACCTTGAAAGGTACAACTGTCTTTTCGAAAATCGACTTGGTTAAAGCGTATAACCAAATCCCTATGGCTACTGACGACATACCGAAAACGGCTATCGTAACTCCCTTCGGACTCTATGAATTTTTGCGAATGCCTTTCGGTCTAAGGAATGCTGCTCAAACATTCCAAAGATTCATAGACGACGTTTTTCGAGGTCTCAACTTCGTACACACGTATGTTGATGACTGTCTAATCGCAAGTCTGGACAGAGAATCACATCTCAAGCATCTGGATCTTGTTTTCGAACGACTTCAAAAACATGGCATAACTGTAAACGTTCAGAAATGCCAATTCGTAACCAACTCGTTAGACTTCCTAGGACACACTATCGATGCTCAAGGCATTCGACCTCTTAGGACCAAAGTGGCGGCCATTCTGGATTACCCAGAACCGACCACCGTCAAGCAATTACGCACGTTTAACGGCCTGGTAAGTTTCTATAGACGTTTCATACCGAAATGCGCAATACTTATGAAACCTCTGACCGACCAACTTCGTGGAAATGCGAAATCCATTAATTTGGACGACACCGCACGAAAAGCATTCTCCACAGTTAAGGAACTGATTGCTAAAGCAACAATGCTCGCACATCAGGACACCGAAGCACCCACTAGTATTGCAGTAGACGCATCCGACTCGGCAATCGGAGGAGTCTTACAACAATGGGTTAACAACTCCTGGCAACCCTTGGCATTTTTCTCTAGAAGGTTGCTAGACACCGAATCGAGGTACAGCACATTCGGTAGGGAACTCCTAGCTATGTATTGTGCTGTACGGCATTTCCAACACTACATCGAAGGTCGTGAATTCACTCTTTTCACGGACCATAAACCGCTCACTTTCTCGTTAAGCTCTCCTTCTGACAAGTACTCTCCCCGTGAGTCTCGACAACTGGACTACATTTCGCAGTTTACTTCAGACATTCAACACATCTCTGGAGCAAGCAATGTAGTTGCAGACGCCTTGTCTCGCATAACTTCCTTGGACAGTTTCCAAGGAATCGACCTTCTTAAACTCGCCGAGCTTCAAAAAGAAGACAGTGATCTTCAGCACGAGTTATCGTCCACAACACTTAAACTACGCATCAAACAGATGGGAACAGGTAAGGAAACCTTACTTTGTGACACATCTACAGGTAGGGATCGCCCAATCGTGCCGAAACATTATCGACGCAATGTCTTCAACACATTGCACAAACTTTCGCATCCAGGTGTTCGTGCAACCATCAAGCTTATAGCAGAACGGTTTTGCTGGCCTGGAATGAATAAAGACGTGAGGGAGTGGGCACGCTCCTGTGTAAGCTGCCAAAAATCTAAGGTCATCAGACACAATAAATGTCCCTTAGGCTCGTTTAAAACTCCCGATGCTCGTTTCGACCATGTTCATCTGGATTTGGTAGGACCTCTACCAGATTCAAATGGATACTCTTACCTCTTAACCTGCGTAGACCGTTTCACTCGATGGCCAGAAGCAGTACCTATCAAGGACATCACTGCTGAAACAGTGGCCCGCACCTTCGTCAAACGATGGGTAGCAAACTTCGGTTGCCCTTCAACCATCACTATAGATCGCGGACGTCAGTTTGAATCTGATCTTTTCCGTCGTCTGACCACACTTTTAGGAATCACTCGCTTCCGAACGACCGCCTACCATCCACAAGCAAACGGGTTGGTAGAACGTTTTCACCGACAACTGAAAGCTTCGCTATCAGCTGCAAACGTTTCACAGTGGACCGACGCTCTTCCACTCGTCTTACTAGGTATCCGCAATGCAGTGAAAGCTGACATTGGATACACTGCGTCTCAACTCGTTTATGGTACGACACTTCGACTTCCAGGAGAATTCGTGGATCCTTCATCCTCTTCAATGAACATGGATCTAACCTCCTACACGAACAGGCTTACAAACGCAATGCGTTCAGTTAAACCTGCTTCCACCCGACCTCAATCAACTGATGTTTTCGTTCAACCTGACTTACGATATGGTACACACGTTTTCGTTCGTCGAGACTCGCATCGACGACCATTCGAATCAGCATACGAAGGACCCTTCAAAGTTCTTCAACGTGAATCTAAGTACTATATAGTCGATAAGAACGGAACCAACGATAGCATCAGCATCGATCACTTAAAAGCAGCGTATTTAGAAGGAAATCCTATCTACGTGGATTTTCCTTCGGTACAATCGAACGACACGACTCCGACACTTATAATACCTCATCCGACAACCAACACACACGATGATACTTCGACAGTATCCGAAAATAAACTTAAAACGACGCGTTCTGGAAGAAGGGTGAGATTTCCAGAACATCTAAACGACTATTGCACGTAAGGCACTTCTCGACATTTTATATTATTTTTTTAAAAGAAGAACAATTTTAATATGCTTATATATTTTTATTTCTATTTAAAAAACAAAACAAAAAAAACAATTTTTTAACGCTATTACGTGTTCATGAGTTTATTTTCCATTTTTTTTCCCGCCGACATTGTGTTTTTACGCACATACGAGTGTATTTCGACATGCACTTACATCTTCTTTTTTCTTTTCCAGGACGGCTGTAAAAGAACGATGACGTTTATGAGGATCCGAAATTTTCCATGTACATTTTCTTTTTTTTACTATGTTGTACCTCCGTCCCATATAGTAAGGAAAGACGACCAGACGCTGCTAAATTTAGTAAGCTATCAGAAGAGTGTTTACCAACGACAAACTCGTTGGGTTTAAACTTCTGGCTGGCCACGTCTTAGTGTCGTCACTGCCCCACTAGGGGGGGAGTGATCTGTAGCGGTAAATAAATCCCCAAAATAAATAGCACTAAGTTTTCGACATTGGATGCTGACCATGTTTTAGTGGACTCACCTAGCTGAAGGCGCTCGGTCAGGCATCCGCACCAGATCACGTGTGGTAACGCCGTGCTCAACATCAACCGCAATCGCTAGCCAGATTAGATCAGAGAATTCCGATATATTGGTCATCGCCAAATATACTCTTCCGATCTCCTCGACTCTGTCTTTTGATTTCTCTGGGCGGGAACGAAATATATTAGAAGGTGTTACTGGTAGAAGCGTTGTCAAACACTGAATACCTGTGACATCATCAACGCCTCATGGTTAAAGCAGAGTTCCTTCGGAGGTCCGGAGGCTGATGCTTCTTTTTGCAACTACAGCAAACACTAATTAGAGTACATGGAATGTTCGCACAATGTGGGAGACCAGGAGAGTCTTTCAGATTACTGCAAAAGTGAAGAAGGTACACTAAAACAATAAGTGTTAAATATTTTCAGTATATGAGCATCAAATGTCCCGTTCGAATGTAATGTAGTATATAATTATGGTTTTCTCTGGCGGTATGAATAATTAGCTTCTCGGCTCTCTGAGATAGGATCGTGTGGTGTATGAATCATTAGGCCGACATGACATGACTTCTAAGGACACTAACCCGGTGAAAAGCTCTTTAAAATTGGAAACATATATCTACCGCGACTGGAGCATCTGCCTTCCAAATTTAGAATGAGATACGCTATAATTAACTATGCTTAGCCACGAAACCAGTACTAATAAATGAACGATGACAAGCACATACGTTTGTTCAAGCACTAATGCAAATTAATTCGCTGGTACAACGAATATCAGCATCAGTTACAGTTTCAACGATTTAAACATCTGTAAGAGGAAAATTTTTTAAAACTTTATGATGACTGTCTATGTATTGGAAGACCTAGTTTATTTTAGCAAGTCAGGTTTATTTCAGGTTAAATACTGTCATTCATTAAGCAAGATATCCAACATCGCTCGTAACACACTGAGGTTTGATAAGACTTTATTACTGCAACGCCACTTGAATGCTGAGCGTTGTGTGAACAATGAAATAAATCAGTTTTCGTTTACTAATCGCATGTTAGACATTGGAACTAGAAAGCTTAATAGTTGGAGCAATTTTCAAACTATGGCGGATGGAAGACGCGGTACCCCAAAATGTAGCCCAGAGGTTCGTATTGGGAACTACATAATCGGAGAAACACTTGGTGTCGGAACTTTCGGAAAAGTCAAAGTTGGAATTCATAAATCTACCGGTGTGCAAGTTGCTGTAAAGATAGTGAACAGGGATAAAATCAAAGCTCTCGATGTCGCCGGCAAACTACGTCGCGAAATCCTCAATCTTTGGCTTTTCCGACATCCCCACATCATCAAGTTGTATCAAGTCATTAGTACTCCAACTGACATATTTATGATAATGGAGTATGTCAGTGGAGGGGAATTATTCGATTACATAGTGAAGTCTGGAAGACTCTCTGAGAAAGACGCTAGAAAGTTTTTTCAGCAAATAATTTCCGGAGTCGCCTACTGTCATCGTCATAAGGTTGTACATAGAGATTTAAAGCCAGAAAATTTGTTGCTGGACTCAAACCAGAACGTAAAGATTGCTGACTTTGGTTAGTGGACTGTAATTTCACTTTCCGTACAGCATAAATAATGTTAATAACCCGACGAGTGTCATTGTTTTTTCGCTGGGCTTGTTTGCCGGTAGTGAAATACCTTATGCCGAACAAGTCAGGCTACTTGGTGACATTAACATTCTACTGGTTGTATACCGGGAATTTGTTTGTACCATGATGATATTGGGACAGTTATACTTTTTAATTCCTGATTTGGTGATTTAAGCGTCATGCTTTCAGTTATCGATCTTAGAGTTTTTATTCTGGTAATCTCTCAGGTTTGCGTTAATGAATGGTGCTCAAAGACCTACCTTTTAAACATCGATTTCTTGCTTGATTGTGATTAACTCTACCTGTAATGCTGCAGTCATAGTTCTGTATTGTGATATTTACTTGTTCAATGGGGGGTTTTTTAGCGTAAAATGTAGTGGTGTTTGTCTTTCCTTTTTAAGCTAATTGTCTTATGAACGTCGCTTATTGTGGTGTTACCTGATATTGCCATCAAGTCTGGTGTATTCGTGACCAACAGTTATGTTCTTCGTTTGCGTTTCTCTCCATCTTAAATCTGGTGTGTGGATTGAACCTTGGTTGATTTTAATCGTGTACACCAAAACAGATTTTTTAAAATTTGCATGTATGTTTACAGTAACTTTTTAGGGTAATCAGTTTAGTTCATTAATCCAACGTGATTGCAAGGAATTGATTTGATAGCAAAAAAACGCTGCCTAAATAGAATACAGTCCCTCAAACGAAATCGTGGCTCGACGGTTTAGGTCAAATGTTTTAGTACTTTCAGGTTATATATAGCTTGTGGATGATTATTTTTATGGTATATATTGCTGTATTACAGGACCTGGTTGTATGGTACATGTTTGCTTTGGTTTCCATCCGCAACAACACCTATGTGTTTAAGAAATACTTTTTTAAGAAGCTGGAATAATGTTTTATTGCTGTTGGTTGACATACTATTTAACTAAGGTTTGTACAGTAGTCATATAGCAATTGTCCGTATTTTGGAAATTTGTTTTGGCGGTATAGAGAACTTCAGTAATTTCAAAGTTCAGTACTGTTCTAACAGAATAATGTATAAAAAATTCGCCTTTTTCCAGGATTGTCCAATATAATGCAAGATGGTGAGTTTCTACGTACTTCTTGTGGATCCCCAAACTATGCTGCCCCTGAAGTAATATCTGGGAAGTTATATGCTGGTCCGGAAGTAGATGTATGGTCCTGTGGAGTAATTTTGTATGCATTGCTATGTGGCACACTTCCTTTTGATGATGAACATATACCTACACTTTTTAAAAAAATCAAAGCAGGCTATTTCCATTTGCCAGAAACTTTGAGTTCAGGTGTAAGTGTATGTTTTTTTAATTGGGAAACTATCATCCTTATTCTTCACTTAAAGATTCTTTTGCTTTCTGTCTTGCCTGGTAGGTTTGGATCATGTTAACTTTATCTGAGATCTATTGCGTCCCGTGTCTTCTAAAGGAACGTTAGGAAAATCGTATTCCTGATTGCTCCCCTGTCAAACTAGTGAATATGAATAAAACAACAGGAATTAAAGCATCATAGGTGATTTCTTAAAAATATTCATGTGATAGTGATAAAAGAGCTTGGTTATTTAGAATAGTTTGACAGACTTCATCCACACTAGTTCATTTCGTCTTAGTTTTTGCTAACAAATATTTTAGCTGTAGGTTGTACACCACAAGCACAACTCTTGTAGTTTAGATCAACTATTGCGTATCCAAAGTCTGCAACTATATGTCATTGGTGAAGTAGTAGTGCATTTCATAGTGAACTAATAGTATATATATATATATATATATATATATATATATATATATATAATCACTTTTTTGTTCAGGTCAGGGATCTTCTTCGAAGAATGATAACTGTGGACCCGATCAAGCGTGCAACCATAGAAGAAATCAGACGACATCCGTGGTTCTCAGTTGATCTTCCTAGTCATCTTTTCCCTCAAGAACGCGATGAAGATGCGTCAATAATTGACAAGGTAATGCTTTTATAAATCATGTCTTCTGCAATTTTTTGTATTATGTATTGAAACGAAAGCACATCAGAGTTGGTTATTTTGTTTTATATTGTAATTTTTAAGATTAATATGAATCAATTTATTAATAGTTATGGTTACTGTTTTGTTTGAGTGTTTATAATTATTTCTCATTGAAATATTTTAATGTTTCTTGGCTGACTTGAGGTTTACTCTATGTTTTATGGTCTTGTCCCTGTCAACTGTAAACATCGTATTAGTTTCGTGACATTCGTTATTAAGTTCTAGCAACCGTTTCTTCTGAAGTCATTGTTACTCAGAGCCTACCTAGAAAGGCTATAAACACACGACTGCTAAAGTGCTGTGACAGACATCATGTGACCGACTTATTAGTTAAATAATATACGGGATATGACTTCATATTTAAAGTGCTGTCTTTCCACTCGTTTGTGTTCAGTTTCTATAGGAGGACAATAAAAGAATGTCAAGTCGCTTGAACTAGTGGTCACACTGCTAATTGACGGATAAAGTCCGACCAACATTATAAGGGATTTAGATAAACTTGAAATTGTCTACTATTCAGTGATCAATTTTAAATGCATACCAGACGTACAGAAGGCTAGCCGCGGTCTGAATAGCTCTGCGATAACATGTCAGATTGTGAAGATGATGACGTGGGTTCGAATTCATCTGGGAGCGGAGGGTTAATGTTTAAGTTGTACAATTTCGTCTACTAAGACTACTTTAAACCCCTACCTAGCCACTTCAGTTCGGACAACCGGCTTGTATTACTAAACCCCACACTTAAACTGTGGCTCATACCTGACAACTTGTTACAATTAACCGTATTGCTGTCAGTTAACATTTCGCTTTAGAAACACAAGTTTATCACTGTTCTAATGATGTTGTTAAACCAGGTCAGCGACAAGGAAAAATATAGTGACATGGGTAGAAAGAGTCAGTAGCTCTATTTAACCGGTTGACTATCATAGTTAAGTGTTTGAAGACGGTCGTTATGCCTGGGACTCAGCGGGATATTCCTGAAAGATTGAGGGAATAAATCTCCTCTCGAAGGTTTGAGATGGTGTAGTCCTATCCTATACTCGGAAACTTCGTCACAGCTTTCGAAGCATCAAATGAAATACATTAGTACTAAAAGACACTTAGCTTTCTGATCATATTACAAACTCAATATGTAGGATTCGACTAACCACATGACCAATCAGTACATTAGTTTATCAAACTAGTTTTTCAAACCGAAGAACGGCACTAAACTTTATATGACTTATTTTTAGTACGTTGGATCCAACTATTAAATGATTCCGAAGCTTTATTCTGTGATCAATGGTCGCTTTAATCATTTATATACTTTTCATCAGGAATTATTAAAATCAATGTTTTCATAATTTTCTTTGATTCACTTAGGAAGCAGTTTATGAAGTTTGTCAAGCGTGCAATGCAACAGAACGTGAAGTTTTCGCTGCCTTACTAAACAATGATCCTAGTGATCAATTGTCAGTTGCTTATCATCTTATCATAGACAATAAGTAAGTTCCAGTTGTAGATGCAATTTGGGGGTTTTAATATCACAAACACCACAATATACTCACAATGATATGGGTTGTATTCGGAAATTAAGAAAGGTCACAGTTTGATCGCTCTTAACTTCTTTTTGTGATTCAATACATTGAAGAAGCTTTGTTTTTTAAATTATTTACTTCTGACTAGTCAAGTGTATATTTTGTGGTATTCACTTACAGATCTATATAAACACTTGACAGGATCTTGAAGATGTACCTTTCAGCGCATTAGTTAGGTGAATCATCTACTGAAGTAGGTATAGGACAAATTGAACTATTCTCATTGTTCCTATCCCAGTGAAGCGGTAGCCCATCGGTTATTGCTCTCAATTGTCAGCCACTAAGTCACATGTTCCGATCCCGCTCTATCTATTTGGGTTTGGGCAAGTAGATATGATAAACAACCCTCACAACTAAGTGTGGCTCAAATGTAAGTACACAAATTATTACCTGATTAAATAAGTTCACAAATATAGCCGGCGAACTGGATCTTTCTATACATATATTGCCGTAATTAGTCTATTAAGGTTAGTAGACAAAATGAATTTGAAACCAATATCAAAATATATTTTATTCCATATTTCCGTGCTAATCTTTTCATCCACTTTTTTATAATTTCAAAGACGTTTCGGATCAGTTTTAAATCCAGAAGAAGTGAATAATTTTTATGTTGCCACTGGGATTGATTCATCAACCTCATCAGTAGCAGCAACAACGCCAAATACATCGAATAGTCCACCCAGTGGTGGTACATTGACTCATTCTCAGCCTGGTGGTGGTCGAAGTCAATCATTAAGTCCAAATTATGGTAACAATACTGGCATGATTGGATTAAAAGGTAGAGGTATTTCTCCAACACGACCTCATCCAGAAAGAATGCCTGATGGACCACCGTTATCGAGAACATTAGATCCAATGGGGGATTCGTTGGTAATAAATTCTTATTCAGTGTGTTTTTTCTACATTATTTATCAGACTGAATGTTCAATAAAGTAGGACTATAACTTGCGGATGAACCAATCAGATTTAAGATAGCAGTTGTTTTTTGTACGAAGCTCAATCATTCATATAGGTAATTAGCATTTCAGGATTATAGCTGATGTTAGTGTGATGAATACATTAATTCTACCTTATTAACTCCCACCTCTAACTCTATCTTCTAATATTAATTTACAACCGTATTTTGATTCTTGTAAATTTCTCCACCCCACTTTATCGCTTAAAGGTCATCCACAAAATTACTGATAGTTTTAAGGTTGACGTTATTTTTGCAGCTAAATAACTTTTATTAGCCAATTTGAACATCTTCTTAAGATGTTTGTTTTTAGTTATACAGGCGTTACTCATTCCTTATATGTAATGCATTTTTAGAAGTTGTATCTAGTGCATTTATCGTAAAGCAAGATTATGCATACTTTTTTTCAATGATGTGTAAGTTCAGTGAGCAGTGGTTTGATACTCAATAAAGTCAGATCGTAAGCGCGTTATCTCTAAAAAGATGGCTAAGTTAAATAAAAATAGGGAAGGCGGACAACCCTGACATACACAACTTATCGATTCCTATGACAGTTCATCATTGATTCGATCAGTAGTGTTGAGGTCAAGAGCCTGTACAAGGTTAATACACTTTTTGGTATGTCTTTAAATGACAGACAGTGTCGCAGAACCTCACGATCAAGAGATTTAATGATACTTTAAGATCAATGAATGCAACCGTAATTGGACGTCGGACAGCATGCGTTTGATCTAGAATCTGCCAAACAGCATCCATGTCTAAGTCTGAAACCATCCTGGTTTTCCCTAGTTTGCTCCTCACGAGCCGTATTCAAGCGTCGGACTATTATTGATGCTAGTAGTTTAAATATTATATTTGTCAAACTAATTCCTCTGTGAATGTCATTATAGAATTTTTTTCCTTTCGTATAAACTTGTTTTTTTTCGCAATTAAGACCAGGCAGATGGTATTATGTCCGATTCCCAGATTATAGTCAAGATTTCGGTCAATAATAAAGCCTAAATAGACTACTCCTTAAAGACTATCGGGTTTGATCCATTTGAACCTGTTACTCTCCTTTGCTCTTAAATCGCCTTTTCAACCTCACTAAGAGTTGAAGGACGTATTTCAACTTACCATTCAGGCTAATTTGAGATGGTGGGTGATCTAAATGTGACTGAAGGCTATTTGAAGTGACCATCAATTCAGTCTCTAAAACTAAAAGTAAATAGTCCACCCCCATTTTTCTGATATAATCTAACTACCAGCTGGATTTTTAATGCCTGTTTCCTTATCGAAGGAATAGGCAATAAAGCAGTATGTTGAGTAGATCGTTTCAATTTACTTTGCGTTGGTGATATCTCTATCGTTAGCTTACTATTATCTGAAGTTGTGTTCCGCACTCATTTACATATTGTGTCGTTTGAAATTTAGCATTCATATTAAGTCAGTCATAATCAACGTACAGCTCGGCGCAAATATGCATTAATCCAAGCCGCTGTACCATATCAACATAACAGGATGAATACCAAAAGTGTCGGAACAATTGTAGTAGCAATAACAGTGCGAGTGACTGAACATTACGAATACAGTTCAAAAATAGAATGAAAATGTATATGTGAAGGAATCAGGTATCAAAAATGAAAATGTCTTCGATTTTTTTTTAGCAAATAACTGACTTCAATATACCAAGTCCTATTACTCAAAGCCATCCTTATCTTAGTTTTTCTCCCGTAGTATGTTAATTGATAGTTGTTAAAGTTAAACAGAGAACTTCAAGTCTTATGAAATAACCAATCTGTAACAGTGCTTAACTCGGTGGTTAAATAGAATATCTTTTGCCTCGAAATTTAAAGATTCTAGGTCCAATTTCATTCAGCTGACTAAAACGGGATAGCTGTCCAATGCTTTTTTGATGATGGTTGTGGTTGTTCTCCAAGTTTCAGTTCCATACAACAGAACTATATTGACGTTCGTATTGAAAATTCTGACTTTGGTATTGGTTGGCAGTTGTTTTGAGTTTAAGATGTTTTTCATTTGTGGAATGCGACCGTTTGCCAATCCATATCTGAACGGTCGCATCAAGTCCCCTTTGTTAATCAACGATATTGCCAAGGTATGCGAGTTTCCACCTCTTCCAGAGCATCCTCATCTAATGTGATGTGGTTCAGTCAGTCAGTCAGCTACAACGTAGGACCAGGCACATATATGCATCGGACCAGGTTGCCATACCGCATCAGCACAACAAGATGAACACCGGATTCATAGCAGTGGTTAGGTCAAAGTTGGTAATATATAAGAAAAAGATTGCTTATAGAGATATAGTACAAGAAGAAAGAATTGGTTCGTAGAAAGAGATATGGAGTGATTTTAATCTCTTAGTTTAAGGGAGGACAAGGAGTGTATACACCGATGTGGTTGGTGCATTCCGTATGATGCTGACGATCTCAAGTGCACCAGTGTCGAAGAAGCTTTCATAAGGCTTTCCTATCCACGCTCTTAAACGCTTTTTTATAGTCAGGGAAATTGATGTATCGTGACGAGTTCTATTCAATTGATTGTTCAACGATTATTGGTTTTTTTGCTATTTGGTCTGTACACAACCGACCCTCGGCGTTGTGCGTCTATTAAATCTTTCATCCGACTCAACAACACTTGAAAACTTTTCCTGGTACCGATAACAGTGAGATACATTCCTTCTTTCCAGTCTGTCGACACTTGTTCTTACTTCCACATCCTTGTGCATAGAATGTGGAGCGTGTTTGGAGTTACTTCTGTGTCTGGCTTTAGTGCTTCACCTGGTATATTGTCTGGTCCTGCTGCTTTCCCACTCTTGATTTGCTTGACGACCTTGTTTATTTCCTTGAATGTTGGTAGGTAACAGCTATAGGAAGGTCCGTAGGTGCTGTTTCGGTGTCCTGTGTTGAGGTTGGTTTATTCAAAAGCTCTTCCAAGTTGTCTTCCCATTTGTCCCAGTGTTCTTGAATATCAGTGATTAGTTTGCCTTCTTTATTCTTGACTGGTAGTTCTGGTTTACTTTATTTTTCTGCTTGCCTCTTCGTTCTGTCATATAGTTGCCTCATACTTCCTTCTTTTGTAACTTTCTTCACTATCGTTGTTAGGTACGCCATATATTTCTGCCTATCGTTTCTAAAATTTTAAATATTCTTTATTTCGGTTGTTTACAAATGGTAACTTGTTTATTTCATTTGAAATTAAACATTGTTCAGATTTCTAGCTTCCGAATCAATTTTTAATGTACAATAATTTATTATTTTAATTCCTATTTTGTTTAATTATAGACACCTGGATCAATTGTTACAGGTGATTTGAATTGTCCAAGTCAAATTTCTTCTCAAGCACAATCAGCTATTACATCGGGAGCTGCAGCGGCCAGTGGAATGAAACGTTTTAAATGGCATTTAGGTATACGTTCTCAATCAAGACCATGGGATATTATGCATGAAGTATTTAAAGCAATGAATTCACTTGGTTATGAATGGAAAGTTGTTAATCCGTTTAATGTACGTGTAAGAAAATGGAATCCAATACTACAGCATTATTCTCGACTTGTATTACAACTTTATCAGGTTAGTTGGTTATTATGGCTTTTTAACACTGTTATATGAATATGTATAGTTCTTTAATGCTTATCAATACATATGGTATATAATTCTTGTTCAAAAAATAGTTGTCTTTAAAAGTCTTTATTTATTGTTGGTTATGATTTGTTTATTCAAGATGATAATTAATGTTTATAATCTTTTTAAAAAAAATTTACATAAATAGTTAATCACGAACTCAGCACAAATGTGCAACATTGGCTCAAGTTGACCACAGGATATTAGCACTATAAGATAAATAGGCAAAAAAATTCGTAGTATCAATAATATTAATAGTTGAATTCATGAGTAAATTTTAAGCTAGACCACCAGTGAAAACCCGAAAGCACTGGACGGCCGTTTCGTCCTAGTATGGGACTTCTTAGCGGTGCGCATTTATGATCCCGCATGCAGGACTCGAATCCAGGACCTTCGGTCTCGTGCACGAACTCTTAACCTCTAGACCATTGAGCCGGCATCCAACGGTGTTAATGTCTAACTTCAATCGATCCATGATATTGCCCAACTCTTCGTCGATTGTCTGAGATAGATACCTGTCTCCACCCGATACGGATTGGACTCATGAATTCAGCAGTTAAAAATACCACAATCTCCACAAATCCCCATTTTGATAATATTAATAATAGTTTAAAATATATATCAGGTATAGAGAATATATGGGAGTAAAATATCCTGATATTGAAATTCATGGTCTAGGTGAGGGTGATGAATAAATGTATTTGCTTCATTGCAACTGATTTCGAATCATATTACCAATGTTCTCCGAGTATTAGTCACAATTATCTCGTGGATACTGACAAGGTAATCTGAACCAACCAGGCACTTTGTCAACAGTGATGCCAAGTGCTTGTTTAGTCGGGCTTACTGCCACGCTAAAAACCATGTACGAGAATATAGCCTATATTTTCTATGTAATATCAAGAAAAAAATGCTTATTGTTTCTAAAAAAGGCTTGAAGTGGTTCAAGGAACCTAAATTAACAGATGTATGCTCAGGGTTTAAATAAAGTCGGTTTTTCTTTTATCTTACAAAACACTTAGTGTAACAGAACATCAAAAGTATCCTTTTCATTCAATCAAGGATGTGGATCTCACTTTTACAAAGAATTTAATAGAAAACTAAGTCATTATTGCTACTGACTTCCATTCTGACAATTCCTCAAGCTACTGAGCTTCATGATCTCTAGTACTTCAATAAAGGGAATCATGGAATCCAAAAATACCATTCCTATACAACTATCTTTCATACCACGGGACCGTGTTACAAGCTGATCACGTCTCAACTTCATCCACTTAGTCATAGAATCAGGAAGTAATGCACAATATGAAAACATACCCAGGCTTGTGAAGTCGATATTTGAAGATTTTGGATTATCATCACTCAAAAGATAAAAAAATGAATGTTACTAAACCTCTACCATTGATTTCAAACTATCTCGTATATGACTTACAACTATAAATTATGATTTCATCGTTAGATCTAATAAATAAGGCCAAACTTACATACCGATATTAGTCGCTTCCTTGATCTAATACTTTGAACTAATACTAAATTTGGCTTTCTTCCACCCTACTTTTTATGACGAACAGTATTGTAGTTTGGTGTAGAAGTGGTGATTACTACTGATATGAATAGGTAACTTTTTATTAAACATACCATATGGTTTGGCATATTGGACATAGGAATATAACAATCTTTTAGAATGTAGATAATTAAATCCAATATACGTCTCGATTCTAGAGATGGAAGTTCAACTCCATGTACTAAACGTCACACATCGTATTTGAAATGAAAGATTCTAGTATAAATAAATTTACTAGTATCCATACTTGTTTATTTCAAATTATTTACTCTAATGAGTTTTAATAGTGACATTTTACGTTCACAGGTCGATGCAAGATCATATCTCCTCGATTTTAAGTGTATCGATGAAAGTCAATTAGAATCTGAAACAGCGATGGGTAGACTACGTTCAAACAATATGTCAGTATGCCTTGATGCTTGTAGTGGAAGTAAGTTTCGACCATATTTCTTTTTAATGTTTTTATTTATCGGTGGTATTAAGCAATAATAGTCACAATAATACTAAAGACATTGTAATGTTATTATGGATTAAAAAATATACAACATGTAGATTCTAAGACGAATGTTAGTTCGCACAAGTCGATGTGCTTTGCATCAACACATCGAGAAAATAAGAAAATAGTGAGATTAGTAATAAGAGAAACATTCTTGAGAAACTGAAGTAAAGCGGAACTGATACAAACAAAATAAATAAAGTAATGAGTTGTTCACAACCGGATTATAGGCGGGAAACTTTAGAACTATATATATATATATATATATATATATATATATATATATATATATATATATATATATATATATATAGGCAGTATATTCTACTTATGTCATATTTTTTAGAAACATTTTAGTCAGATTGATAGTCACATAATTTCTGTACCTACTTTTGCTTTTAGCTCCTCCAGCTGCTATGGGTACTTCAACATGTAGTAGAGATGGTAGTTTTTCCGGTAGCACTGGATCTGCTAGTCCAACCAATTGCTACGATGGTCCAAATACAACTGAATTTTCTCGATCGTTTTCAGCTAATTGTCAAGAAGTACCGATTAACCGAAGAACTAAACGACACCAAACAATGGAATTTTTTGAAATGTGTACTGAACTTATTACTACATTGGCTCGATGATTTACTATAGTAGTGTTTAAGCGCAGATTCCGCAAGATTCAAAAATTAATCACTGTACACAAGGACGATAAATACTACTACTACTACTATCACCACTGTATACAGTGATTAGCTCTAAAAATTCCTATTTGTAGTATTTATCGTTCCTTTTTATTTCAACTCCTGATTTAATTACCAATTAGCATTACTTCCTGCCAGGAAAGTCTTGACCTTATCCCCATCCCCCTCATCTCTTACAGACATACGATGTAATTTTTATTTAATTTGATTTCCCTTTATACATATATATACATATATATATATATATATATATATATATATATATATATATATATATTCATTCTTGCTTGGTAGCATTTATTCTTTAAGATAACAATAGAAGGAATATTGTTTCATCTGTCGGGGGCACTTTTATTTCATTCTCTGAAAATCAGTATATTTGAGATGATTTATATATGATTATTTGTAGCACTACAAAATGTAGAAAACTTTAGATTAGCATATATTAATATGAAATCATATATTGAAATAAGGAGTAAACCATATTGAGTAGTGTAACTGTGACTATTAGCTGTCTGCTGTCATCTATAATCTTTTATGCATTCAATCTAATCAAGGTTGTTGAAACTGAAATTCATCCTTCATGTTCTCACACATAGATGGACTTACTGAAGTTCGAATGTAACGACAGTTCTTGAAATTGTATCACACTGATCTACAGTTTTTTCAACAAACATGTACCAAATAAATACACTACCAAGCTAACCGCTCTTCAGTCGAAGACCAGTAACTCTGTCAGGGGTTACAGTGATTTTTTCTTCTAGCTAACCTTCATCATGACTGGTCTGAAAATGCTACTTTTTTTCGACTTAAATATGAATGTGCTTTAATGGTACGTTCATCATCTAGATTTTTTGGTCATCGAGGTGGCGTAATCCTTATTTGATATTGACTGTAGCAAAATGTAGTTTTCCAAACATGATTTACGAATGTTTGTGATTCTATATTTACTCTCTACACAAATAGAGAATGATCTTGTTACTGTTGTATACCGGAGTCTAACCTGAACTCTGACCACTCTCCTTCAGTAATTATTAATGTCTCAACGCAAATACAGAAAGGTTGTCAAATGTTCGATTAATAGGTGCCTTCGAAGTATTTATTAGTTATATTAACCCAACTAACAAGCAAACAACATTGAGTGTGTGGTCTAAATGAATGGAATCAGTTGATGTTGTGAATTTTAACTAATTGAGTGAGAACTATGCTCAGCGCATTGCTGGCTAACGATCTGTAGACTGCATCAAATTTTAGATTGTTGATTAATCTGTGTAGAATTTCTAATAGGGATTGGCTAAAGACCTTAAACGAACTCGGATACAATGGTTTACTTATATCCGGGTTATTATTTTTCTAAACAAAATAAGATTTCATACTCTTATATTCCCACCAGTCGGTTATTATTATCAATAATTATCGGACGCGTAACAAAGACTTATGAACTGCAAACACGAGAAAATCAGACTAGCTTTAGACCTGGTCATGGCTGCATCGACTACATATTCACCATTCGTCAGGTTTTACAACACAGGCATGCTTATCGGCGTCCGACAATGTTAGTTTTTGACCGAGGTAGTTTCTGTCATTGAAACGTGCACGTCAGAAGTACATAAACTTTGTGAAGACTCTACTCGAACACTAGCAGTCGAGTCAGAGGTTATGGCGAACTGTCATCTGATTTTGCAACCTGTTCACTATTTCCATTTTTGTTCAATTTCATCATAGACGTATGTTATTATTTCTCATATTACGACCCAGCTATTGTTTGTATTCTTGGACACTACTTCACTCGACAAGTCCCAAAATCGGAACACCATTGGTCTACCAGGAGGTTCACTTATCGAATTAGAATACGCAGTGAAAATTTTGTTTGGTGAAGACTAATAAAATCCAGTCTTTTGGCAGCACAGAGCAACAATTGCAGGATGTTTGGAATGCGCTTCTTTCCCTCTGAATACAAACTGTTGTTTCAGGACTGACCTGCGTCAACACCTGAACTAAGGATAGGGAGTAAAGTAGTCGAACGCGTGGACAGCTTCACTTATCTTGGAAGTCTGATCAGCCCTAATGGGTTAGTGTCTGACGAAATCTCAGCACGGATTCGAAAACCTCGTTTGGTTTTTGCCAATTTACGTCACCTATGGCGAAGGCAAGATATCCGTCTATCAATAAAAGGACGAGTATAATGAGCGGCAGTTCGTTCTGTTTTAGTTTCAGTATATTTTGTCTAAATCATGATATAGGCCTTGATGATATCATTCAATGAAGATCAATAGTTGTATTTACATAACCCTATCAACAAACAAGTAACACTACGATGTCAATAATTTTAGGATATATACCCAAGGGGGACATTACAATTATATGAATCTAGTATAGAGGTAATTCTGCGAGTATTACATTATACAAAGATTAAAACTGAACTCATCGTTTTTTTTCTCTCACAATGAACTGTGATAAGATTATAGAAAACAGAAAAAAAAAGAAAGAAGAAGTAATTATCTTTCAGACGATATATCCAATTTGATTAAAATCTGACTGAAATTCACTTGTATTTTGTCGAGTTGCATTTTGTTCAGCTAAATATAACATATTGGTTAAATTGACATCATCTGGAAGTCCTGGTAATATTGTTGGAACAAATGAAGGTGATGAGAATGGACTAAACCATCGCCATGAAAATGGTGCACCAAACGCTTTGATAAAATTTTTCTTGGTTGATTGTTTCTCCCATGATGACTGTTCTTTTTTAATATTTTCAATTCCCTTTTTTTTTAAAAAAAAGTGAAGAAAAGAGGAATAATTAGAAAGGTGCATTAAACATAAAATGGAATATTAATGTTAGTTATAAGCAAAATACAGGTGAAACTATAATTTATGGACGATATTCGAGAGATCTTGAGACAACAACCAGGGTAAAAAAGGGTTATTAATATATATACTTCGTTTGACCTATTAGCTATTGTAAAGCGACTTACCATTCTTAACTTATTCCCGATCTATTAGTTACAGTCTCTCACAATCACAGCCACTTTTGGCTTGATCTTGTATTATTGTTATTTTCTATTTTATGATGTTTGAAATACATGATCGATACAGTAGAGGCTGGGATTGGGTTCTCGACTCAAATTAGCATGGTAAGGCACGAAGAAGCGATAAGGAGTCATAATTGACTCAAGGCTGCTCGTACTAGTTAACGCGTCATTCATTTGGTACAGAACCAAAGTCGGTGTTCTGATTGGCGATCTTATTACGTGGTAATTGATGGGCCATAGGGCATAACATTTATAATCTGTACTCGTAAATTGTATATAATAACAAGTGAATTATTACGCAGTTTAAGCCTTCACATGGAATCCTGAAGGCCAAAGGAGAAGAGGAAGACCAAAGAACACATTATGCCGGGAAATGGAAATATACATGAGAGAAATGAACAAGAATTGGATGGAACTAGAAAAGAAGGCCCAGAACAGAGTGGATTGGAGAACGCTGTTCGGCGGCCTATGCTCCATTAGGAGTAACAGGCGAAAGTAAGTAAGTAAGTATTACGCAGTTTATGGTTAGTTTCCATTAACTGATCAAATATGTTTATAATTGACATCTTTTTCTGCCAATACGTTTCTGATTTTTATTTGTCAAACACATTTTTCTTGATTAAAACTAATCAAAGTGAATAGTTTGTACCGACAATTACAAACTAAATAACAGATGAATCTAGACTAAAGGTTAGTTGCCACTTCACTAAAAGTGTAGATGAAGATTGTTTGTACTTACAAGATATAATGAAAACATTGATTGAAGTATTATATAAGTGCTGGGTTTCAAGGGATCACTTAAAACTGATTGATAGATATCAATGCAGTTTGAAAGATTATGAGTACAACAATAAGCTTAAGTTCTGTAGTAGGAATTTTTGTGTAATATTCACATAAATATCGTGAAAGCGAGATTGATGCGTCTACAAATCGCTAGCAACTGTTCATTTTTACTCAAGCAAATAATAACATTGGATTAAATGGCATTTTTATAAACAGTGAATACAGTTGGAATGTTGGATAGAGTACTTAGACAGTATTTTAGTGCTAAGCTTCTGCAATTCCCTTCAAAATATTGCATACACTATGAACATTTTATGTCGACCTACATAAAAAAGGAGAGAATCGAAAGAAAGTGAGAATAATAAAGCACCACAAGACACATGACCTAATGTTATTCTTTTTACATATAAATGCAGAATCTTTATCGGAAAGTTAACCTGGTGTACAAATCGGATATTCCACCTATTTGGAGTAAGAGATTGTTCGATATACATAACGAACGTAAGGTTAAAAGATTGTTACTAGGATACGATTAGATGTATTGTAAGTCGAAAATTAACCTAGAATATTCAGATAATAGTCAATATAAAGAGACTATCCAAATCACACTTAATCAACGTCCAGAATTATTGTTTGAAAGTAGCAACGTTACACGAATGGTATGATTTGAAATAACAGATTATGTAATGTTAAGGGGTAAAAGTGTACAAATTTTCGTTAATTTAAGCTCTTCTAACTTTAATTGATACGAGAAGTAGCAGATTAGCTATACTTCATATATGATGTTGAAAGATATGCATAATATTTATAAAGCGATATGTTGGATGTAGTGGGTGATAGGCATTACAAACAACAGTTGGTCAGTATCTCTAAGCAACTTTATATAATAAGTGTGACTTAAACATCTTATTATTAAATGAACTTCTTAAGGTAGATTCGCATTCCCCGAGTCGGACAGTTTAGATGTGAAGCTAACATTGTTTATCTACATAAAATTATCAGTATAAATTTGCAAAGTGATAAAAACATTAAATTGAATAGGGAGTTTCATTATAACTATGATTAATAATATAAGAGAGTAGGTGCATATAACTTACTGTTTCATCATTTGAAATAGCGCACAATTGACTGATGCACATAACTAAAGTGAAAATACCGAACATCAAGGATTCACATATCAATCCTAGGGCAAATGCACTGCACGCTAATGAACTAAAATTGCCTAGTATATTAACATTCTGATTTGATTGACAAACTGAAAGAAAATTGAAAAATAATAAAAACAAATGTTCACATCAATCGATTTACCAGTAACAGTGATTATTAGATGAAAACATTGTCAACATATGATAAACAACATATCAGCCATCACTGAAAAATTGGGGACTATGCTAGATACTTTCATGTCATAAATCGTCAAGCAATTTTCATAAAATATCAGCGCATCAAGATAAACTTACGAAAATAAATAAGAAGGAAGTTAAAATACCAACGATCGTAAAAAATATCAAGCACAGAAAATATGCACCTTAACTCATTTGAATTAGCTGTTTGAATCCTCCCGTTGACGTCAGGGGGTACACTTGATCAATACTTTTTTGGCATATGTCCATACTTTACGGATTGTCTCAATACTATTTAGAAGTTACAAGCGCATTTGAAGCATAGTTGGATAATGACTAATAGTGGAACCTAGGAGGCGCGTTTCGTCCTATACGGGACTCGTCGGCTGGTTCTACCTGCACCAAAATGCTGATATTCACACCAGAATTCGGACCCCTAACTCATTATTCACTTATATTGAGTCCCGATAGCTACTGCTCTGTGCGATCGGAGGATTTTAATTTATTTGTAAGAGCTGTTTGATGTAGGTAGCAAATATTTTCAAATGACGAGCCCCGAGTACGACGAAACACACGTTCTAGATTCCCTTGTTAGCTATTATTCAACTGATTCATGTAAAAAGTATTTTCTCGAAAAAAAATAAAACAAGAGAGCAACATGTCTGAAATAATACTGAAACTAATGACATAGAAAAGAGATGGAGAATAAATGTATCAGCAACCGTTTTTGAACCATGTCACTAAAGATTATGTTTGAACGTTTAGCTTTCTGTTTTACTCTACGGCTGCGAAACGTGGCCATTAAGAGTAGAAGACACTCGTAAGCTGCCAACATTCGACCACAGATGCCTTAGAAATATTGCTCGCATCTGCTGCGACCACCAGGTAAGTAATAGTGAAGTTAGACGCAGGGTATTATGGAATGATGGTAAATCAGTTGATAAAGTTATGAATCTTCAATGACTGAGATAGTTGGGCCACGTGTTGCATATGCCCGAACACCGATTACCACGACGTGCAATGCTGACGATGTCGGAGACGGTTGGAAGAAAGTTAGGGGTGGCCAGGCCAAAACGTGGCATCAGTCATTGAAGTCACTAACCTCTAGTGTGAGACATGTTGATAAATGCAGACCACGTGACTATCTTAACCAATCGTTGGAGACTCTGGCTGACATGGTTCAGAATCGATCACAATCGCGTAGGTGTATGCACATTTGTCTTCACTTAAACCGTGAGGTTAAAATCACTTTATACCTTTCTGTCTACCAACTAATTCTTTCTTCCTGTACTATATCCTTATACATAATCTCTCTTTTATACATTACTACCAGTGAAGTAACTACTTCTATGAATTCGGTGTTCATCTTGTTGTGCTAATGATGTGTTGGGACTTGGACTGATGCATATATATGCCTTGTCCTACGTTGTAGCTGACTGACTGACGATTATCTCACATACTCGGACAATATTATCTGTAATTATCAACAGGGTTTAAATCAACAATTTATCACTTCATTAATTGTTTCATTGGTATTTTTCTATACAATTTTCGAACTAGTTTATCAAAAGGTTTAATGAGATCGATAGAAAATTTCACTCATTGCTTTAATAGTTCATAGTTTGAACAATGAATAAACGATAAACGGGAAAAGCAATTCATTAATCTGTAAATGTAACTTCTAAATGTCAAGATTGCGATTAAACCAAAATTAAATTACCTCAGTCAGTAATTGTGAAAATTAAACTGTTATTTACAAATATATGTATAGTCTGTAAAATTGATTGTTTTGTAAAATGTTATAAAATAAATATTCTCTTGTGTTCTGTAGTCATCTTTACTGCAGAAATAACAATAAATGATTTCCTTTTGAACGTGAATGTTTAAATATACTGTTTTGATTGGTGAAGTTTTTTTTTTATCGTAAATTTTACTATTATCACTGTTAGTTATTTTCACAGTTGAATTCACAAGTCAATCTAAGCTAGACCATCAGTGAAAACCTCGAAGCACTTAACAGTCCTTTTTGTTTTAGTATGTGCATCTATGATTCCTCATGTGGGACTTAAACTAAAGACCTTCGGTCTCGTGCGCGAACGCTTAAGTTCTAGACCACTTAACCGACATTGGTGATGAGTTCCGCATTATGACAGAACGGCCGTCCAGTGCTTCCAGGTTTTCAATGGTGCTCTACATTAGATTGATTCGTGAATTCAACTGAGAAAATTTTACAACCTTCACAAATCTCCATATTGATTATTGGTATTAGTTCAGTTCTGATTGAGTTAAATTCGATCCACCTGGTGCTCGAATTTTCGATAATGATTTTTTAATTGTTTACTAGTTCCTCAAAAAGTACGCAATAATAACAGAAACTTCGTTTTCAAGGGTACTTTCTATACGGAAAATTTTTGGATGACTCTGACTTTATAGAAAGTCCTGAGAATATATCAAACAAAATAGATAATTTTTCAGTACAAGTATGACACATGATTCTTCATTTCTTCAGATGTTCTTAGGAGATTTTCATTGGGAGCTGATTTAGCACTTTTCAGCCATTATAAAGGAATTATCAAGGACATGTTCCATTAATTTTGTAAGTCATCTGGTAAATATAATTACAAATGGGGGACTTTGAATGAGTAGTTTGCTTAGTATCTGACTGCATAACAAATCCCTTTCAATAATTCACATATAAAATTAACTAATAATAATAATTGTCAATGAATCATTCTTCAATAGTTCTCTTTTTGACATTTTAATTTATGAACAAACCAATCAGATTTGCAATGACAGGTCTTGGATTTTGGTGTGAAATTCAAACATCTGTTTGGCTAAATGGCGTTTTAGCTTATGTCAGTTAGTGATGAAAACCCTAAATCTAATTCCTAAACCTAACCATCATAAAGAGCGGCCTGCTTGAGCATCTGGGCTACCTGTTCCTGCCATCTAGATATTTCAATAAGTTATCTATTTTTGTTTGTTTGTTTTAATATATCATTATGTTTATTAATCGCATAACCTATTCTGCTGCGTTTCTGAAAAGTGTACAACCTTTCGTTGTCAAAGTTACAAAAAACTCAATAAGAGACAATGTGGTTGCTAGCAATATACAGCGAAAAGAATGCACATTATTCAGATGTTCATTTACTGAACTGCTAACATCTCACTGGCGATCACTCAATATTTATCGCGAGGACCGACCAAGAAGAAAGAAACGGGAACTTGTTGAAATACTTTACGCTGAGAATTCTATATTGTACCAAAAATATAATATTGAATAAAGCTAATAATAATAATAATCCTAATTCTTCACACTGGTTTATAAATCTCATTCAACTGTAGTATGTAGGTGGACACTGTTAAAGTTTTTTTAGCGTCGCTCAAAGGTCGTCCATAAATTATAGTCTAACCAAAAAATCAAAAATATAGAAATGAAAATATTACAAGGTAAAGTAAACTGATATGTGAAGTTGTTAATATTACCACTACTGGTGCTACTACTACAACTTACCCTCCCAATCGGAACCCAAACATTGCAAAAGAAAATAAATACACATTCCAATAGCAGTAAATGACATTAGACAAATATAAAACTGAAAAGTAAGAAAACAGAAAAGAACTGAATGGCAACTGATAATTAATTAATTAATGACGGTCTTATTTTGTTATTATCACGTAATTAAACCAGATATGAGGTCATTCAGGAAACAAAAAGGAGAATTGAGAATTTAATTACTTTTATATTTTATCGTAACAAATAGATAAAATTCTTTAACAATATTTGAAGTATGGGGACATGCAGAGATTGTTATATTTTCACAGTTAAATTCACGAGTCAATTTAAAGGGTTACGAAAGATCATGGATTGATTGAAGTTACACATTAACACCGTTAGATGCCGGTTCAGTGGTCTAAACGCTAAGCATTCACACGCGAGACTGAAGGTCCTAGGTTCGAGTCCTACATGAGAGATCGTGGATGTGCACTCTGAGGAATCCAGTAGTAGCAAAAAAACGGCCGTCCAGTGCTTCCAGGTTCTCAATGGTGGTCTAGCTTACATTGACTCGTGAATTCAACTGTGGAAATGTTCAAAATGTTAGATACATTGGATCACTTAACAACTTTGGGATATATATATATATATAATGTATAACTTCTCAATGATATCTCAAAGTTATATATATTAAAATTGATTTTACGTCGAACAATATCAGTCACGAAAAATATAACCCGATATCCACTACACTACTATAATTAGTGATTATATTTGTCATTCTGATTCTCGAAGTTTCACGCACAATTTTTAGAGATTTTCATTTAATGAATTAGTTATATCGGAAGTAAAACAGCAGGTTGTTTACTTGGGTCTTATGTAGTCGGCTCGTAATGACAGGAAGGCAGGTGTATAACATCTCTCTTGCCAATAGAACTGGTGACCTTCCATCTACCAATTAACATATTGACCAATGAACGACAAGTACGATATTGACACTTATTGGTCCTTGAGGTACGTTTGACTCAATGGTCAAACAGAAGACGAAGGTAGAAACAGGTCAACTCCTTATTGTGCTTAATTCAATTATGACGCGAACTCATAACAATTTAAAAATAAAAATCTGACTACATATCAACATGATTAAGAAATTACAATGAAGACATCGTTACGTTATAATTGGAAGAGAACTGAGTAATAGATTGGTAATAAATTAACAGTGACTTTAAAAATGATACAAAATACAACAATAACAATTTATACAACACGACAAAGTCTACAAGCAGGAGAATACAATAATAAAATGATTTTAGCATTCAGTAATTAAAAAACGAAAATAAAGAAACAATAACTTCATTTAGGACAATTCCAAAAGTCCAACTTTTCTAATATTTATCCAGTTATAATCTAACACAATTGTTCAGTGACATATTAGGAGAGTAGTATCGGATAATATAATTCAGTGATAATTATTAGTTAAAAGAGTTTTTAAATTCACATCAATATATCTTAGAGAGAATGTTTTAGTCCGTTTTTTCATGAGAAAAAAATAATGACTAGAATTTTGAGGAAGAAACATTGTGTATATTCTATCTAAACTCTGTCTCGAGCCCTTCTAAGGTTACTACCCGTTTCAAGCCCAAATAAATAAGGATTATCGGGAATAGGGTTAATAACCCTATTATGTAGCAAAGAACCAAGTTAGAAAAAAAAACGTTAATCAGAAACATTTTGTCCAACTTATAATTAATTCTCAATAAAAATATAAGATCATAGAATAATCATAGTACTTAATTGAACAATTAATTTTTAATCATTAAAGAAATATAAACAATCAGTACCATTACTTACAGCGAATAAAACAAAGTACTTTTGATTACCTTCACCGACACAATTATTTACCCATGGACAATGGTGATCCATTTTACGTATACATCGTTGACAAATGCTAACAGATAAATACATATATAAGTAATAAAGATCAAAACATATATGATATTCATGTAATGAAACATTATAAATTATAATATTGTAGCACATGTAAAACATTAAATTACTTTGCTTTTAATTGAAATATTTAAAATATATTGCACAAAGATACGAATTAGTTATGAAACTATCGACAATTAATAGGAGAAAAAAAATCGAAGACAATAAATAAAAAAGATAATGGTTATATACATCATCTGATCAGTTAGACAAACAGTAAAAAGATTAAGAAATACCTACATTTAATGATTTATACTTTTCCCGGTTATTGATACGGAAAGCTTAAATTGGTTGGATTTGTTTCGTATTCGTTTGTGTTGAATCATCCCATTGATGTTAAAGAATGCAATTGATCAGTCTCTTATTAGCATATGTGCATCCTGTGCGGATCGCCTTAAGTTACAAACATTATAAGCAAACATGGATAATGTCTAGCAGTGGAATCCAGGACGCACATTTTGTCCTATTCGAGACTCGTCAGCTGGATGCACATGCATCCCAAGGTTGATGTTCACTCCGGGACCCGAACACAGTACCGTTCGCTTCAAACTCTATCATGTTATACATTTAGCTACTGGTTTAAGATTATAGGCTTGTTTTATTAGTTTGTTCAAAGGTTTACCTTTATTGTAAGGTTTATGTATTTTAGGTTTTTTTTGATGCCATATTCAGTAAGGGTTATGTAAGCTGTTAGTCAGTATTCAAGCAGATGGAGAGTACGGTTGTTAAGTTGTAAGCGTCCCCCATTACAAAATTGTGGAAATTGATGTGCTTTTTTTAAAATTAGGCGTTCAATTAGGGTAAATAAGGTTATAGTTCATATCACTTGATGTTATTTTTAGGTTATAAAATTGTTGAAAATAAAGAAAGTCATATATGGTGGTTAAAATACTAGATAGGGCGGAGTGATAAAATGTAGAGGAAGGCTATCCAGGTGTTTGGACTTAAAAATTGTTTTAGTTGCCAGAAATGGATATATATAATGAATGTGAAATTTATATGTGTGGAGTAGAATGTAAGAGGGTTATGGTAATTGTGAGTATTATTTAGGTATAGTTATTCACGTGCAGTGAAAGCAACAGTGGGAAGTTATTTTCATCATTTTATGGTGGGTCAAGTTGTATAGACCACTATTTTGAAGTGCGTTTTTAAGTGGGATGCAAGGCATATTGACTCAATTAAAGATAGAAATGGTGAGTGAAGTTGACTTGTTTTATCAGTAGGTTACTTGGATGTATTGAGAGCCCATTGAATTTTTATTTGTGGCAGTTAAGTTTGTTATATCTGTTTTGTTGTTTTTAGTGTCAGGGTTATGGTTTCTTATTATTTTTTTTATTTACTGTGTTTATTCGGTGTTTGTTTACAATTTTTATTTTGTTTTAGGGGAATGTTTATAAGGAGGCAGTTGGTTTTAGTGTTTTATTATTATGGTGCGTGTCTAGGTTTCTTTCAGGTTGTTGAGAGTGGGTGGTCTCGTTTATGGAATGATGGTAAATATTAAACTAATAAAACTGTGTATTTCATATGCACAAAATGTAGTATAAAATTAGACAAACTTTGTTATTGGTTGAGTTATTTTTGACTTTGGAGCCTAAAAGGTTAATGGTGGACTTCCTACTTTCAAAGTATGAGGGGAGGTGAGTATGATTCTTAGGCTGTGTCGTCCTAAATTAATATATCTATCAACAGCCCACTTTATCCATGTAACGCACAACAAACTTTGATATTTGCGGCATATAGACGTATCTTAAATTACCAAATGTTTACCCACTCAATATTTGTAAACATGAATCTATAAACGGATATATACTAACTTCAGTTATTATAGTAAAATAATCAGCGCATGGTCCCTTTAACGTGCACCTTCCCCCAGACGGATTCAGTTTACTGAGTGGGGAACGGTGTAACGTTATACGGTATTTTAAACCCACATAGTTTATTCTGGCTTCCGGACAAGCCAATCTATTCATTCATCTTAAACCACATTTTGATCTTTCCACTTATTAGCTTGTTTATTCTGTTTTAGATGAGCGTGTGTTCATTTCTTATCTTACTCATCACATGCCTGTAGCTTATTTTTATCTTGCTATAAATAATGATTGACGCTTGATTAAATCGAGTTGGCTCACAAGCCTTCTCCACTGCGTGTCATTTCGCTTCGTCCTTTTGATTGTCTGTCCGAATCAATGAGTGTACAAAATATACGTATTCAAAAATCCATTCTTGTATTTGATTTGTTTAGCTCCGTTATTCACCAACGCGATTTAAGTAGATTATTATATAGGAGGATAGACGACATCTGTATTTCAATAACAATCAGAAACGATCAGATTAGAGTCAGATCTCGGGCAAGGAAATTGGTGAGCCCACTAACGAACAACCTAAGGCAGCAAACTACGTCGATGAAGAACCTTCAGCACTCCATTCCTTCGACATACAAACTCAGTGAACTAGCTCAATCGACAAACAACGCAGTTTTCGACCATGTGGTCAAATCAGAGAGAGATCACGGCACCTCTAGACTGGTAAACCCGACTTCGAACTAAACGCACCCTGCAAATCTAAGCAGAAGACGAATATCTCGAACTCTACGCGTCCAATACGTGGACGAAGTGTCTGCCATAATCGATGAGCTACTCAATCTCTAGTCCAACGCATTAATCGGAGCCGGTACAGCAGCGATATGGACATGCTCGAATCTCATTATCTTATCGACAATTCGTCCTCGTGTCACCTCTTCTTGTTGATCCATCTGGCGGATCATTCCATTATGACTCAAATAATTATCATAGTCTCATTATTAAATTATGTCGTTCTGGATCATTTATCACATCAATGGCTTAATTATTATCGTTCACTTTTGTGGGTATATGACTATTACATGTCATATATTTCCGACATATTTACTAGCTGCTCGTACACCGAACAACCTGCTAAGCAAATTGAAGGTCCAGCGACATGCGCATGTACACGAGTCGTCAGTCTAAGCAGTCGAAAGAACCTCCCACACGCTGATAACGGCATGGTCGCAAGTAGCCCATCGCTGGTAACGCTTAGCAACTCTATTACAGACATAAGTTTAGTGTCATACTTCAGATAGTAGGAACTGATGTCCTCGATATGCAACTAATGTTCATCTATCGCATTTGTACACAACAATCGTCATTTTCTACTTTTTTAACAACAATCCAAACCGAACTCCAGCCGTTTTTTGTTTAGTCGATGATCCTTACTTTAGTGTCTATAAAAAAATCAGATATTCGGCACCACATTACTAGCCGATTAGTAACGATTAGGTTCATCTTATCCGTTAGTTCACAAACGAGTTCGAGAGTATATCCCTCTAACGACATAATCCGTGCTAGGCTTCACGACCAAAAAGAAATACGACGCATAGCTCTTCCCCGTAGTCACTGTTCTCCTCTGGTCATACTACCAATACATACTCAACGACAACTCGATGCATCTATTTATGATGAAAATAACGAAGTACACTGACTTCTCATTTTATTCATATTATCAGTTGCAATACAGTAACGAATATCACCCGTCAATGCAGTTATCATTTTAAAGCTGGATTATTTTTATCCCACATAAACTGAATGTATGTGAATTCAAATACATTAATCGCTAATCGACACTACGTACTCTACTGCGGATTATTAGAACACCTTCATATTTCACGGTCTTTTATTCTCATATTCAGTCGGAACCACAAACCAGTCCCCGTCATATTCTACCTTACTTATTTGCACGATTTATTCCGCTGTCATACACATAAATGACTTATTACTGTTTTCACAGTATTCTGAATCGCTCATACGAACGTGTCACTTTATTGTTCAAACAGTCACGACGAAAATGCATGTTAATTTTTTGTACGTTTATTAATTTGGTCATAATCTCATGCTAACATTACAGTTTTGTTCGTGTTCTTACGATATCCGTGTACTTTTTACATAAGCAGGTGTCATACTCAAGTAGAAAAAAGTAATGTATGATGCAGCATACAGTTATACATGTGAACTAATAGATAAAATGAACCTAATCGTTACTAATCGGCTAGTAATGTGGTGCCGAATATCTGATTTTTTTATAGACACTAAAGGATCATCGACTAAACAAAAAACGGCTGGAGTTCGGTTTGGATTGTCGTTGAAGAAGTAGAAAATGACGATTGTTGTGTACAAGTGTGATGGATGAAAATTAGTTGCATATCGATTGTTGTGTTATCAGACGTATGGATCGATGAATTGAAGAATAATGCTTCAAAGAGAGAAGCTATCACCGGAGTTTATTTGACTTTACTCTCAACCCTGTACATAATAGTGTTATGATTTTTGCATTTGGATTATCTGGTGTTTTTGTGATGTATTTAGATCTAGGCATCCTGTTAGGATATTTGGTCTTCAGCTGTGTTCGTCATATGACTTTTTTGGCGGGTTTAAGTACGATTCTTTTATTTCAGATTCGGGTAAATGTGTGATAAAGCTTTTGTTTGTTTTGCAAAAATCTCTATGTTTTACTCATGACATCAGTTGATGTCATTGCTTCATTTGTGGTTTCCGATCTTGATGTTGTAGTGACTCACATTTATCACGAGAACATGACTGGTTTAATAAAAACAATTATTATTATAACCAACTGTACCAGTGTTTGTTTTAATGTGCTTTTGTTTGACTGTGCTAACGACAGCTATATTGTGCTCCCATTCTTATTCACATACTTTGATTGTGACTTCGCACGAATTCGGTTACGTTCTGTAACCAAGCTTGTAGCCTGGCACGATCTCGGTATCCTTTCGATACCACGAGATCGCCAGCAAATATATCTCGACTTGGTCCATTAACTGCCTTCTGATATTTGGCTTCTCGGGGATTTTATGGATTTATTTGTTACGTTCAACCTTCGCCTTCTGATTTATTTGGCACGTGTTTCTCTGTAGCGGTGTTCATATTT